TGCAATACTTATTTTCCAAAGTTCTCCTTATTGAAATATAGATGTCTGTGCGTGTGTGTGTGCACATATTCATACATATGTTATGTACAGATGCATATTCACTGAAATTTTATTCTGTAGTTTCAAAACAGTTAATGTTTCTTGAGCATTTGCCTTTCATTGCATTTTTCAGTATTTTCATTTTTCAGTAGCATTTGGCTTACCTTCCTTATTGAGAAAAGTTCCTCTAGATGCTCTCCCATCTTCCCGTATTGGTCTCACTGTAACTGTCTTTGGCTGTGCAGTGGAAAGAAAAGTGAGTCTGCACAAGCTACTTGTGCAGTGGATTAGGTGATTTTCAGTCTTTTGAAACAATGCAGAAATAAATAGATCATACAGTTCCAAAATGTGTGGGGTGATAGTAATATTAAATTCAGTGAGGGGGATTAGGTCTCTTGGAGCACCTTCAGGAGTACAGTTTTGAGTCTGTGTACAGAGTTCATCAGCATATTGTTACTTGTTTTCTTCTGTTTTAGTGAAAAACTTATTTTCTGTAAAGACTTGTAATTGGAAAATGAAGTTGGTGAGTTTTTTCAGTTAAAGAACAAACATCCCAAATCTTGTTTCTAGAGGGAATCAGATTCCTGAAGTTTTTTTGGTTTGGTTTTATTTTGTTTTACTTTATTTTAATGAGGATTTGTTCTCAAAAATCTGAGTTAATGTCTAACGCTGCTGTTAGTTATTGCATTTAATCTTTTCCAGAAGCTACAGCAGGAAGTTATAAAAAGATCCTTTTTACAGTATCTGAAAGTGGGCTGAGCAGACTTGAATGCATTCTGAAACGTCATAAAATTTTGCAAGACTTTTAGCAAAATATGCTATGAGAGGGATCATGAAATACAAATTTTTCTTGTTCTTCCTAACATTACAGACCTGATCCTTTTGCTTAGCTTTAGTCTCCTTCAAGTAGTTGAACTTGCATAGGAAATATTTCTCACACATTCAATACCATTACTGCTGCAGTTATTAAAATTGTTTTGAAAATATGACTTGAGTACAAAAAGGAGAGATAAAACTGGACTCATGCATCTCACTGGAAAATTATCGAGTAGCAAATATTTTTATTTTGCATTTCATTTCTGCAAATATGGACTTATGTCTTTAATTGTACTTGTTATTCTGCAGGCCACAAGTATCCTAAGTTAGAGTTATCATGACCTGAGTTTCCTGCAGCCTACGTATATTACATTCACATAAATTTCTTCTGCCATTGTTTTAACTGTAAATATGTACATACAGGTTTTCAAAAAACCAAAAAAAAAAGTTTGAGTAAATGATTTCACTCTCTTATTTGTTTCGATTTGGGAAAATTATACTTGTGATTATTTTCAAATATTGTCAAAACATTTGGTTTTAGTGAAACGATAAAGACCAATCTAGACTGTCTCTGAAATTTATTTTCCTAGTTTTTCCTCTCTTAACACAAGCAGTTAGGCACTTTTCTCAAGGGTTGAACCACCTCTTTGCTTTTTTGTTATGAATGACAGGAATGTTTGGGGTGGTTTCAGGGAGTGGGTGGCAGGTTGCACCCTACATGAAGGAGAGCCAGGAGCAGAAGGTTGAGGCAGGCCTGGTACAGGCCAGGACCCAGTCCCACACTACCTGACCCAGGAAAGCTGAATGAGCCTGGTGTTGGTAACCAGGGCTGGGTCCATAACATTAAATAAGCCCACAGCAACTAGGGCTGGTGCAGATCATGGGTCAAGGATGGGGTGCAGCTCTGGATCAATGGGCCATGAAGACAGAATCAGGCATTGCTCAGGCAGGGACTGAAAGGGAAAGAGTTAATTTAAAAACAGCACTGAAGTGTCAGTAAACTTCTTCTGCTGAGTCTTCTTCCTGCTCTTTATAGTTCACGTCAGCTAATTGGCCTTAGATGCCACAAGTTGAACTCCTGGAGCTGCAAGGCGAGTGTGCTGTAACGCAGGACTTGGGTCCTGAGTGGAATTAGGAATGCATGGTGAATGTGTCAGAGATTAATTCTCATGAGAAAGTTATCTTTTTAATTGAGACAGAGAAAAATCACATGTGATGACTTTGTGAAGATGGTGGTCCAAGCTGAAATCTGAAAATTGATATCTGGCACCTGACATTTTTTGCACTTTATTTACCAAAGATAAATGAGAGAGCAAGTACCTTTTTGGAGAGCTTTATATGAAAAATGCTGTTCGGAATAAGCATATAGTTTGGGAAAATTCTAGTGAACAACAAACAAATGTTAACTACTGACACTCAGAAAATAAGCTAATATAATATTTAAGAAAATGTGAGCTCCAATACTTTGCTCAGCAATTATTTATATTAAAATAAACAGTACCAATCTTGTCTATGAAAGATGTATAAACAAAATCATTTTGTGACTTTGTTCTAGAGATCTTTGTATATCTAATATATTAAATGTCAAAAATTATTATTATAGACATGAGACTCTAGACATCCTGGCTGCAATGAATTCAGTTTTTACACACAGAGATAAGTAAATTTATCTTTGACATCACCTCTCGGCTTAGTAGTCATCTTGTGCTTAATTACTTGACTGAAATTCAACCTTGGATGGCTTTGTGATTTCCCTCTACGTGAAGCCAGCCAAAAATGAATTGGTATTGATTAGCATCATCACTGTGAAAAGGTGAACTTTGAGGCTTAGAATTTGTATCTTTTGGCAGATGCTTTGAAGAAACTTAGGTCTTTCTTGTGTTCCAAATCTTTCATGGGTACTTTAAAGACATTATACCTGAGATATTTATTTTTTTTTAAACAAAAATACAGTATATGTGATTGTAGTCCACTAAACAGTAGCTGAATACTATAAATCAGAACAACGTGAGGGAAAAATAATTTGATGGTAAATAGATCTATGCGATGTTTTATTTTGCAGTTAATGCATGCGTATTTTTTGGATAGAGTTTACAGATGCGGGCATCTAACGTTCTGTTTAGAGTTGGAGTTAACATCTTAGGCTGCTTCTGTCACTTTTAGAAAGATCATATGGAAAAAAAGTTCAATCCCTGATTCCCTGTTTAATTTTATTGCAGAAGCTTATCACATTCTAGAGAATTTATTTAGGTAGTACTAAAGACTGAGATGGCATAAATGTAGAGCATGTAGGCTTTTCACTCTACTGTATCTTTCTATACCAAGATCGGGGGAAAAAAAAAAGGAAAAAAACAAACAAAACCAACATTAACCAAGTGACTAATTTTGTAGCTGTGTATACAAAGACAGTTCTGTGGCTGCTGAGTATTATAATGGTTTGAAAAGTCAAAATTAGTTCCCAGATTATCTCTTAGTATGATGCAGAGTATAAAAGGAATATGTTTCTTTTTTTTTTTTTGCTACTGTACCTAATTTTAGACTAAAGGCCCATGTTAGTTTTAAGAACTCTTTTGACCTTTCTCCAAATACTACCATTAAGACTGACCAGGGTTTCAAGAGTGGTTGAGGGGCTTTTTTTTTTATTTTGTTTTGTTTTTCAAATGAGTAATCCACGATGAGAAGGAACAGTCTGAGGAAGTAACTTTTGCTGGTAGGCTGAAATGTCTTAAAAATAATCCATTCAGTTCATAACACTTTGACAACCGACTCTTTAGTTGACACCCATTCTCTGTATTTATGAACTTAGAAATAGAATTTGGATTTAACTCTAATTAATTGCTAAATAGGTATTCTCTTGTAATTTCAGAGTTCTTTTGCCTTTGATTTCCCGTTATTCCTTTTGTTAATGAGGTGCCCATGCCCAAATTACATATATCTTTGTGTATTACAGATCTCATTTTCAAACAGAGAAGCTCATGGTGAGTTCTAACTTGTATGTGGTAACAGTGAATCATAAGAATTACTGTTTTTCTTTTACTCATTTTCATTATTGGTAAAGGACAGTTGTGGAGAAAAAAAAAATCTCATTATTTTCTCTTTCTTCCTCGGTCTTTCTGGGACTCCAGTTTACCATATTTGGAATAGTAGCTGGGGAAGTATCTGGAAAAATATACATCGCTTTACGTTTTCCATCAATTATAGTTTTTGTCCTCACTAGAAAGATTTAGAAAATATTTATTTATAGTTGAATTTTATATATTATTTTTAATACAATACATATATTTCAAAAGATCACTTGTCTTTTGGCAATTCAAATATTTTCTTAAGAATTCTAGGAAACATTTCATGGATGGTTGGTGTGTTTCTTTCCATGCTCACTTCCATTTTGAATCATGCTACTAAATGAATATTATTTTTCTGGCCAATTTCAGCTTTATATTCTGGCATATCCTTTCCTGGATGCCTTTGCTCATTGTTTAAGAAAATTCCAATGGCATGAAAAACACAATGAAATGATATGAGAAAGATTAAATTTTGTTACTCACTGTCAATGTCTGCTTTTGCTAAGGGAGAACTTAGACAAAATGCTGGAATATGCTATTCCATTTGCTCTTTCTATCTGGATGCTCTTCAACCTCTGTTAGAAAGCTATTTTACTTTTGAGAGAAAATGTCATTCAGTTACTTCTGTGAATTTTTTCATGCTTATAAGTTGTTTTCTCTTGATATGATTTTAATGGAGAGAAAGAGGAGCAGCTGAATCACAATCATTGCCCAAGGTGAAGGACAAAAAAAAAAAAAAAAAAAAAAAAAAAAAAAAAAAAAAAGGAAGATTGCATAGCATTTCTAATTTTTTCCATTTTTACATAGCCCTTTAAAAAAAATCTAATTAATAAATATTCTTAAAAAAAGATTTATATATATATAAGTATATAAGTTAACTATATGTTAAAATTATCCTTTTTTTCATGTTTTGCAGCTCTTGATTTTGTTACTGCGAAAGCTTATATCTTAGACTTATTCTAAGATATCACCTTGCTTTGAGATGAGGCTGCTAGCTTCATCCTATAAAAACAGATTTTATCATACTTCTCTTTCTTTTCCTCCTTTGGTCATTCTCCCACTCTGCCCCCAAATCCTTCCCAGCTGGAAAGATGGCAGTTTGAGAATACCTCTGAATGGGGAAAGAGAGAGAGACCTGATGCACAAATGAAAAGTTTGAAAGAAGAGAGAAGAAGGTTGAAGTTGCAAGTGAAAGAAATTCAGGAACTTCTGGAGATGAAAAATAAAGCAGTACCAATTAAATTGACTTGTGATCATCAAAATGATCATCAAAATGCACAAAGTAATCTGCCAGTTAAAAATAAGGTACGTACATTGTTATGCTTCATTACCTTGGGAGCATTCCCATGTAGAACTGCTATTTCATACTGACAAATGACAAAATATGTCCCTAAAACAAGGTCTGTACAGGAGAAAAAGTCTGTGTTTGTGCATCTCAATCCTGCACAATTAAAATACAGTGAATTTCTGTAGAGTATAGAAACAGAAAGAGAAATCTCTTCATTCTTAAAAAGAACCAGTGGAATTGACAAGCTAGACAAGAAAACTTAGGAGTGAAAATAATGACTAGAAGGAACTGAAGAGATTGAGTAAACTTTGGTAGATACAGGATCCTGATGGAGATCAAAGCAAAAAAGTTGTGAGGCAAATTGTTTCTCACTGTTTCTGAATATTGAATCTCTTCTTAGGAAAGAGAAAATAAGTAATTTATCTTGGTAAAGATTTGAAGAGGTGTTCTGTACCTATAGTCTGCTTTTAAATGTAACTGATTTTTGTGCATTTCTGTGATGGCTCAGGAGCAGCAAGCTGCACTTAACCTAATAGAATATCTTCTTATATAATGAACATCTGCTTTTAATTTTCCTTTAGTGACATTTATTGTATCAAGTCATATCATATCACATGAAGATTTTTGTGATTTCTCTGTAATGAAAGTAATTTGATTTTTTGAGTTTGGAGATATGACCAGAAAGGGGTATTTCTGCTTCACATGTTACCATGTTTCAAATATATTTTAGTTCAACATTTTGTTCTTCGTTTTTTTTAAAAAAATGTTAGTTTTGTAAGAATATTAGACATCTGAGGTATTTCCTACTGTTACTATCATGACAGGTTTGGAGACTACTTTGCATCATTTTTGTCAAAGTCAAAAGGCGAATATGGTGTGCAGGCATCTTCCTTATCATAAAAATGGATGTCTGTGCAATGTTTACCTATTCATAGCAGATCACATTAGAATAAGATTGTCTTCAAAACAAATTATTAACATTTTCAATAAGAAAATTAAAAATGACGATTTACTGGCAACTGCAAATGTGTAAATCATCATCTGGTAGCTTGTTAACAGTTATCATCCAAAGAATAGGATGAGAAATGATTCATTTGTAGCTGTTTGTCTCTGTGTTCCACAAGAATCACAGAACAGCACCATCAATAACCTGAAAGAATGTCTGGCTGCTAACCCCAAAGCCTTTTTTTCTTGGATGGTAGTTTGGGTTCAAATAAAATCATATGTCCTATGGAGGACTAGAAGAGCACATAAGAATTTTTCTAAGACATGGCTGATGGTTAGACGTTTATGGATTATTACAGATTTACTTCTCAAGTAGACAAAAGGGATTTGGGTAATGTGTCGTGGAATTAACTGCAGAGTAAAATGCAGTTACCTTATATTCCTGCTTTTCCAAAACATGCATTTGGAAGATGATATGTGAGATCCAATCTAGTTGTTTAGAACAGCACATGGGGTTGTTAATTGATGTGTGGCTGATTCTCAGTTTGAAAGGTTATAAATAACTAGTAACAACTTATTTCCTTTGTTAATAGTTTAAGGAATATTAGGCATAGCATCAAAACACAGAAGGGAAGTTCTAACGTTCTTGTGTAAAAGATCTCATGTTGACAATTATCTTAATATTTACATACCTATAGAATTTATGCAATCTCTTGCCGCTTGTACAAATTCAATTTCTGAGCAAAAAAATTATTATTATTATATTGCACAAAATGTGAAGCCTTCGCATTATTCTTAGCAGACAGTATGTTGATTGAAAATGTTTCCATGTGCATTTTTTCAAAGGTTAACTCCTGTCCTACAAGATGAGTAGAATTGATGAAACAGTTGAGATCAGACGTTGTTACTATCTAGTTTTATCGATTATACGTCTTGGAATGGAGAAAAACATCTAAATTAATAGCTGTATGATTTTACAAATAGCATGGGAATAAATATTAAGTGGGTCTAACTGGTTCACCTAGGAAAAGATAAGATGAAGAATAAGAGTTTTTTGATTGCATAGATCAATACTCCAAAAATGGCCTTTATGGAAAGAGATTTTCTATTTCAGCTGTGAATATCACTCTTAGAAAAACTTATACATTAATTTGGGGGAATAAGTTCTTCTGTACTGTCTCTAAATATTATGGCCAATAGGTAGTCATTAAACATTTTATCCACTATATATGTTTTGTAGCTGACTAGTATAGGACCCGAGTACAGAACAGAAAACTGTATTCATGGACTATTTGTTGTTGCTGTTCTATTTAGTTTCAAATTTTAATATTACAAGACTATAATTTTGTTGCATAGATTTAAAAATGGGATTATGGCCAGCATGTATTTTTATGAAGCTATTTTACACTAACATTATTTAGCAAGATTTCTTTTAAATCATCAGCCTTTGAGGCTTGTTTTTTTTCAAAGGTAGGGAGCACTCCTTTTTTTACATAAATACTTTGAAAAACAAGATGGTATGCCTATAGTGGATTTACACAGCGTGTTTTGGTAGCAGGGTGTTGCCTGGCTTATCTGTGAAATGAGGCTGGGGTTGCCCTCTACTGGATACAGCCGATTCCTGCACACTCCAAAGGACCTGTGCAGTGCATGGCTGGGGCCAGCAGTCAGGTTAGAAGAAAGTCTGGCAGAGATTTGTGACTCCGTTTCACAGACAAGACTTCATTTTTGTGGTAGTATCCTGAATGAGACTATAATTTCTGCAATGGCATCAAGGGGCCACAGGAGCAGGTGAAACCCAGGTTTGCACGTTTTTCTGCATGAGCCTCAGCCCTGCACCCAGTGTTGCAGACTGCTTAAGGAGAGAGTGGATGTAGTACTTAGGCATGTGGATTAGTAGGCAATATTGATGGTGGGTGGAGAACTGGAGTAGATGATTTTAGAGGTCTTTTCCAACCTTAATGATTCTATGATTACCATCATCGGCTGTGCTGATTTACTAGTGTGAATACAGCCAGACACAAAAATGTATACGCAAACTGCTACCTTGTCAACAGGTCTGTGTCTGTGTAGCCCTTGTCTTAATGCATGCGGTCTGCCAAAAGCGTTCAAGGAGGCACCTCAGTACACAGATGGAATTTTGTAGTTTGCCTAGGAGAAATTTGAGTAGTAAGGGCTTAAAATAATTGCTATGTGTTTCATTGCTGGTTCTATGTCACAGATCTCTTGGGCTAAATTTTTAATATAGTTTTAACTCCGTCAGAAAATAATACTTGAGAGAGCATTAGAGTACTATTGTTAAACACTTTGATACTTCACTGAGCTCTGTTCATCCAATGGAGAATTATCTTTGTTTCAGTGCAGACCTCTGAGATGGTTATTCTGATGGTTAAGCAGCAGTGGTTGCACAATTTGCTCCCTTAGCAGATTTTTCAAATGCAATATGTTTTGTCAGAATTACCACTTGGGTTACAGTAGTTTTATATGATTTTTTTTCCTAATTATACTTCTGGTGAAATGCTTCATACTTAATAAAATGACTGCTTTGAAGTAACAGTCTTCAAGATTTGTTTGTTGACAAATTCCTTTTCAAGGGGAAAAAAAAGGGCCTAATTCAACCTTCAGTAAAATTCTGGGCATCATTTGTCAGCACTGGAAAAATAAAAATGTTGTTATCCTGTGTTACACTTGAAAATATGTACTTATAGTTCTGACATGTGGGTTGCAGTATTTGTTTCCAGCTTTGGAAATCTCAGTTCTTTGAACAGCCAGCAGTAGATGTTTGAATTATCTTATGCTTTGTTTTTATGTGTTTCACTTTACTCATTGCTTTCAAGGCAGCTGTCTTGGGTTATTATGTTCACGGAGGAGACCTGGCTCTCAGTTCTCTCTGAAACTGCCTTTCTAAATCTTTTAGCCAAGTTTATGTAGAAGATACTTCTCAGTGCTAAACCTCATGAGATTTCTTGTTTCTTATCCATCTCTGTGTATAGAAAGAGCAATGTAATCAGAAACATTCTAATTTAGGTCTGATGCTTGCCTTTTTGTACTCATCCAAGTAGAGTTGTAGTTGTTTCATCTATGTAATTCTGATTGTTTAGTAAGATTACCATTTCATTATAGTATTTTCTAGCATTTTTCAATCTATATATTTCTAAATAAATTAGAGTTTAAGAACCGCATTAAAATTATCTTGTGCCAAATAGTAATAATTGGTAAATATATTATTTATGTTTAAGTTATTTTGAAGGGATGGTTATGAAGGGATGGTTAAAAAAATATGTTTTTTGTATACTTTGGAGATGAGTAATCCTCACATGGCATAAATACTGCATTATAAAGCTGAACACCTCTTATCTCACCCTTTGCTTTACTCAGTTTAGGGATGTTGAAGTCACTGTTTCAAAGAATTTTTGATGAAGAAAAATAAGAGTTGATACACTAGAAGTAATCAAAGTTGCATCTCAAAGTCCTGTGTTTTTTTGTTTGTTTGTTTTGTTTTTAAGATCGCTTGTACAGAATTCTGTCTAATATTTGGTGAAGGCAAAGGCTGTTCCTTAAAAGGCCAATAAAATCCTACATCTAAGCTTAATAATGAAGAAACATTGTGGAATATATATATGTGGTTTTTTTTAAGTGAAGAATATTTAGAATTGTTAATCTCTATGTTTAAATAATGTTGAAAAGTAGATACACTAGGAAAAAAAAACAAAACAACTTACTGACATTCTTAATCTATTATTGCCATATAATAGATATTTTTCATCATTATTTTCCCTATTCATCCTACCTTCCCTACATTCTGAAATATCAAGAAATCGGTTAGCCCTTACACATGGAAATTAACACTGATTTATCCAGTTTCTAATTGGGATATTTGGAAAAATTACTGTATCTTTTTCATTTGGTATTACACACATTTTCTCATTTCTTGATTCATTCAATTTTCATTTCTCAACTTGTGTAGTGGAAATTCTGAGTCAACGAGTGATTGACCACCTGGTGGGAAGGCAGGGCCAACCTGGGGGAGCTCAGATGCATGCAGTGCCCCTGAGCCACTGGAAGGGGTGGA